TCATCCACTCATCATCTTCTGTGATTCAAATCTTGTGAAAAGCTGCAATAATGTCCAGCTTAGTGAATCATTTAGTCTGTACAATTCACTGTAGAGTCTCACTGATTAATGATAGAGAATATCAATTCTTTCAGATAATTTTGTTAAGAGCTTAATAGTTCATACAGAATCTTAACTCATCCTCAGACTTCTTTGTGAATAGTACAGGAGCAGCTGCAGGGGAGTTGCTAACTCTAATAAAACTTTTATCTAGATAATCTATAAGAGTCATTCACAAAGCCAGTAGTTCCTCTTGAGATATATTATATAATGAGGCCCAAGGGGGTTGTTCTGTGCTATCATCAGCCTTTTTAATCAGTTCAGTCCCATGATCTCTACCTGAGCCATGAAGTGGGGGCAGAGTGTCAGTGGCTTTCTTATCAAATATGTTCAAAAACTCATGATAATGTTCAGGCAGCTTTTCTCTGGAGTCAATCTTTGATTTCACTTCTAGAGTCTTTTGAATGTCAGTCAAACTGACAGTGAAGATCTTGATGTTTCACTTCTCTCAAGTGCTCACAAGCCTAGAGAAGCTTACAGCAGAGATGAGAATCACATCAGCTTTTGCATTTGAACTAGACTATATCTCTATGCCACTCTCTTCAAATCTTACAATTCTTTGATAAGAGATCACAGTCATCTTTTGCTGGGCTAGTCAGGAGTCACCTAGATACATATCATGACCATGTAACTCATTCACCATGTAGAGAAAGGTCTGTTCAGTTATATGACCATCTATATCAATTTGAATGCCAGTCACCATGCTTGTAAAGAGTCTCATGAAGTCTTCAAAGCTGGTCATTTTAACAGAGAGAATTTCAATGCATGAGAGCTTATGCTTATTAACATAGAATTGAGAAATAAGATCATAGACATTATATTCACTGTCTATCATTGCTATAGTTAAAAAGACATTATCTACTAGAGCATTGATAGTGAAGGGTTTAAATATCATCTTAGATTTAAATCTTCTCCATTGCTTTCTCATAAGCTTCTTATTTTGCTCCTTTCAGTGTCTTTTGGTTGAAGCTACTCTTTTCCCAAATCCTCACTCATATCCATATCATTATTGTCCAGTACTGGCTCAGGGATCACCTTAGCTATTGTGGGGGTGGCAGGATGTCTGAGAGGTTTGAATGAGCAGCTCTTAATCATATGATCTTCAGCTCTGCATCTCAGGCACAGGCCTTGCTCTCTTCATCAATTAACCTCTGTTTGATTTATCAATTTAGTGTGATGAGCACTTGAGGTCACAGCACCAGAAGAGAGATCCATCAGATCATCAGTGAAAGCTTAAGACTGGTTTCATTGGTCAAGAACAGCATGATGAAGTAGAGAGTGTGAATTAGATGTTGTATGATCTGAAGAAGATCTGTTCTCACAATGTTTAGATCACTATCTTAAAGTCTTAAGCTCAGAGAGTTGATGATCAACTAATTTAAGCTTCTTATAGTAATTCTTGTAGAGAGATAGTTTTCTTACACTCATCATGCCTTCCCTCAGCTCCATGCTTAGAGCAGATTTCAAATACCTCTTTTTAATGTGATCATCTCATCTGTGACCACCAGCTTCCAGCAGTAGCTGATTAAATTTGAGCAGAAAGTCAAAGAGAGCTCTTCTACCCTGTCATAAATTGTTGAGCTTTTGCATAGTCTTTTTCTATCATGCAGAATCACTAAAGAGCATGTGTGTCTGCTTCAGTAAGCTCTCTATCATGAAGTTGATCTTGTTCTTATTATTCTCAACTCAGAGGTAAACTTGAGCTGCTGTCATTTCTTCCAGTCTTGAGTACACATATCAAACACATTCCTCATTATTACCTAAAGCTTTTTCATTGATCTTAAGTTTTAATTGAAGCTTTAGCTCTCACTGAGGGTAGTACTTCAGATTAGAACCATCATACTTCTTGCAGTCTGATAGCTTGGTCTTTGATCTTCTGACTACAATGAGTGATTGTAGGTTCAATTAAGAGAGGATTGATGTTAAGATGTTCAAAGCTTGTCATAGATTAGCTATTTCAGCTTGCTGAGCTGCTATTAAATTTCTATTCTCACACTGAACCTGTTCCTGCTGTTGAAGAAAGGCCATTCATTGTTGTTTGAAGCTGCTGAGGGTATTTCTGCTCATTGCTTTATATTGATCCATTTATTGTACAAGTCTGCTACTTTATCTCATTCAGCTAGACATTTTCAATGTTGCTCATTCATTTGTTAGCATGATTGCTAACTCAGTCTATTCATATATCAGTGCTATCACTGAACTTCATGATGCAGAATTTAAAACTTTCAATAGTCTATTATATGTCAGCATATTTGCTGAGCTTTGTGATACAGAATTAAGACTCCCAGTGACCTATCAATGAAAGGAGTGAAGCAATTTGTAATGTAAAGGGTTAAGCTCTAAGAACTAGAGACTAGTCCTCCTATATAACAAGGACGAATTGCTTGAGAAAGGGAAGAAAAGAATGAGATAAGAACTCAAGCTTAAGCAAACTCGCATAGCATGATCACATGTGCACATGTGAATGATGGCTAGGCTGAGTCAGCCAGCCAGAGCAAATCTAGGGGTTCAACCCATTATATAACTAAAGCTCTGAAGAATGAATCAATTAAAATATTACTCTTTTTAACTGCTTATAAATATAAACCTCAAATATTCTTTGATTTAAAGTTACTGCTAAGAACATTATCTAGAGAGAAAAAATTTAAATAAAAAGATATCTGACAGTATATTATTTAAAAAAAAAAATCTAAAACTTGACAACTAGCTTTATGAAAAAAGCATAAAAAATTATGAAATTATATATCAATAAATACTATTAGTAATTAAACTTTGAGATAGAAGATAAGATTTTTCTATCATTCAAGAACTATAAAATTTATTATTTTAGCAGAAATATTATAAAATAAAATAAGAACTTTTTTGAGATTATTGAGAAAATTGATAATAGCTATAAATTAATTCTATTAAACAGCATAAAGATTTACTCAATATTCTCTTCTAACAAGTTATAGAAAACTATGAATAACTCTTTATTAAAAATTAAATAATACATCAAAACTAGTTACATACAAAATAAAAATGAGTAAGAGATTGAGAATATTCTAATGAGCTATATCTCTTATAAAAAGCTTCAATATTGAGTAAAATAACTAGAATTTGATAATGATTTAACATGATATTTAACTCTAAATATAAAAGAATTACTGTATTTAATTTAAGAATTTTATACTGTAAACTCAATAAAAGCAAAACCTCTAAAATAATTAAATAAATAACTCAAGATTTAAAAAAAAAAATAACTATCTAGCAGATGAGATAAATGATAATCTATCAGTATAATAACATATCTAGACTTTAAAAGAGAAATAATATGATAATGTAGAATGAGCATACTCTGTTTAACCTTCTCATCAGCATAATATCACAGGCTAAAGCAATCAGTAATCATAACTGTTTAGATATTGATATAGTAATCAATCTCAACTCTATAATTATCTCTCATATGAATAATATATAAATATGAAAAACAGTGCTAAGAAAAAGAGCTATATAAATAAAGTCTTTCTTAAACTCATCTTTTAAAAATCGTGTTAATATTCTATCTATATAGTTTAACTAACTAACAATTGAACATCTATTTTATCTGCATCTAAATTGAAATCTTGATAATTAAAATAATATTAAATTTAAAATATTCAACTTATATTTTAATTTTTAAGTTTAGAATACTTTTTTTCTACTATAATTTCTATAAAACTTTATATATATCTATTTTATTAGTTTTTATTTCTCTTTTTTTTATATAATACTATTATTTTTTGATAATAATAAAATATTAAAACTATATTTAATAGTATATTTATTATATTATGAGTTTATTTATTTTATTTATTAAGATTTATAAGTCTTTATTTAAATTAATAAGATTTAAAAGTATTTATTTATATTATTAAAGTCTAAAAGTCTTTATTTATAATAATATAATTTAAGAATTTTTATATAAATTATTAATATTGAAGAGTTTTTACTTAAATTATTAATATTTAAGACTATTTACTCAGTATATAAGTTTTAATACTTAAAAATTATCTTTTTTTAATATAAATTATAATTTTTTTTTAAATACTCACTATCAATAAGAACTCTTTATAGTTAATAATACTAATTTTTAATATTTATAAAATAATAAATTGAATAGATAGCTAAACTATATACTAGCTTAATAAATTAAATTATTTAATATTTAATATATCTATATATATTTTATTATTTTAATATGTTTATTCTAAATTTTATATATTATATTAAAATATTAGACTAGTTAAATAAAATTTAATAAAGAAATACTATTTTTATAAATTATCTTTTAGAGTTTAAATTATAAATTTCTAGAAATAAAAAATCAAAATTAATATAATATTATTAAATAAATATAAAAAGTAATTAAATTCTAGTTTAACTATATAGATATTATAATTATTAACTAATTATATTTTATATAAATAATAATAATAATAATAATAAAATTAATAAAATTAAAAATTAAAATAACTTATAATAAAATTATAATAATAATAATAAAATTAAAAATTTTAATATAAAATAAATATTTTTTATAAAAATAAAATAATAAAATAATAAATATTAATATTTAATTAAAAAAATAATTATATTAAAATTATATAATTATAATAATTAAATAATAATGAAAAAAAAAATTATATAATATTTTTATAAAGATAAAATGAGAAAAAAAATAGTAAAATATCTCAAAGGAATATATAAGAAGTTAATATCAAAATGGATAATTATGCTAATATGTCAATTAATCACAAACAGCTGAGAGGGAACTTATGGAGTAAAACCGGGGGAAAGTGTGATAATCTAAGTCATGAAAGCTGCGTAGATATATGCATCGTATCAAGAGTTTCGGAATATATAAACCTCATAACGTAATTTTAGATTAATGTACCAGGACAAATCAACTCATTTGCATATGCGCGGTATCGAGATAGGATATCAGTGTTCTTGAGGTCCTCGACTTGAGAGGTAAATGCATAATGAGAAGCGAGGGCGCCGGTTGCCACAAGGACAGCTAGATATATAAACGTTAGTCAGAAATTACAGTACAGAAGGTAATCGCTCGCAGTGTATGTATTCCTCAAGAAAAGGGTGTTTTTGTTTTGTAATAAATGCAAACAGAAGTTTTAAAAAATCGTTGAATACTCACGTCTATTCAACCGCCGTGGGATTGTCTTAGTCAACATTGCTTCGTCATCAACTAATGGAAGATGGTCGATGATATCTTTTCCCCAGACGGCAATGAAATTGATGCTGATCCGTTCGAAACCCATATTCCAGACACCACGACGGGCAAAATCATACACATCGGTTGCGTTCTGCTCAAGGGATTCAAAAAAGGAAAAATGCTGCTGCGCGGCGAGAGACCACTTTCCATATACCTCTTTCCATGGGTTGCAGAGTGAGTGTTGGATAGGGGTACGATATATGTCGCTTCGATTCCCGTGGCGGAGGGGTAGCCAGCGGTGGTTCGGATACGGCGCGGTGCCAACTCCGAGCGGGAACTCGAAATCATCCGGGCCCTCCCAGGGTGGGAGTTGTGAGGCACGCCACGTCGGTATTCCCAGAGAAGTGTCGCTGGGCTGCGTCAGTTCGGGAAGGTAAGGTCGTATAGCTTCTGTGCGGTAATGGTGGTAAGAAAGAGGAGCGCCATTGACAACGTTTGCAGAGACGATAAAAGAGTGGTTGCTCCCTAGCTTCAGCGACACCAACTTCGGGATCGCATGGTCGTTAATGTAGACAATATCATCGTCAATTTTAAGGTAAAGTGTATCCGGTTCAGTCACAGCGCTGTCCCATAATCTGGCATATCCTTTTCTCTCACTATCTGTATCCGGTGAGATTTTCTTATATAGAGGTGAAGTAGGAAGCAGCTTATCCAGCCAGTTCAAATCATTCTGGTTCTTGGTATTGGACACCCAATACACCTCATCGATCCATCCTCTGTTTGCCACGAGATTCCTCTTTAGATAGCAATCAAGAATTTCAACTCTATCAGGCCGTCCGTAAAATATCACGGCAACAATCTTCAAGCCAGGAGGTTTCCTAATACTATTTTCAGGAATAGCGGAAAGGGTGGGGGAGGGGGAGTGGTGGGGAGGATAGGATTGAGGAGGTAGAGGACGCGATACAGTTGGAGTATTCGCAGGTAGGCCCTTTTCCTTCCTGCTTGCTACCTCATGTGGAGTAACAGTCGACTGATCATCCGATAGGGGAGAAGATGGGTGCCGTAAAACTGGAGGATTATAATATGTTGCAATAACAACTAGAAAGAAACATATCAATGAAAAAAGTCCGATTTTGAAAGAGCGTCGGAACAATATTGAGTTCGAAGTCCAACCAGGGAGAATTAACCAGAGGAAACCACCTGAATTAAGAAAAGAACTTCCGCGCATGGTTGGGTTAGTCAAACACGATCTGGCTTGGGGAAAGATGGGGAAGATAGAAGAATAGCGAAGAAAAGGAGGAATCCTATCGGAGAAGTTCGCCTTAAATCCAGCGTGGCTTCGTGAAGGACTTTCTATTCCCCATTCCACTAACGTGATTTACCACTAAATGAGCCGCGTTTTTGCGATCAATTAAGGATTTAAGAGCTCAAAGGTTAAAAATTACACTGCAACTGCTAGGAAGCACTCAATTAATAAGAAAACACTGCACTGGTGTTATAATGACTTGCAACTTGCACAGGATAAAACAGCCTTCCAACATAAGAAGCTCCCAAATCAGCAAGAACAAACACTTCTACTTCATATAGAGAAGCTTGCAGCTCATAGCTTTGCTCCTATATCTCAAATCATTCAAAATCTCATTGCAGAAATCATCAAAGAATCTGTTGAAATTCACTAAGTGAGGTGCTTTATTAAGTACTATAAGACTCAAATTCAAAGAATTCATGTCCATGACATTGATCAAAATGCAAAATAGCAGATAATTCTACTCATTTTGAGCATTATTTTCAGCTAGTATTTTGATCTTTTGCTTGTTTTCTTGTGCTAAGTTCTATATAGACTCTTGCTAACTATTTTGCTATATAACTATATAGTTAAATGAGAAAATTGAAAAATATAATATTGAGTTATCAAATATCTACAATTTTGATGAAAAGAGCTTCTTAATTGACATCAGTCAGACTATTAAGTGAATTATTCCAGTTGAAGCTTTGAAAATAAAGTAAATTACTGCAGTTCAAGATGACAGCTGTAAATTCATTTCTCTATTCACAGTAATATATGCAGATGAAATAACTCTTTCATTCATTCTTAGTTATCAAGAAAAGTCTTATGATATGTTAAATATATGACTAGAAAATTTGAATGAGAATAATATAGCTTATTTTGCAGTTTCTGAGAAAGATTGAAGTAATGATGACTATAAACTTAACTAATTGAAATGAATTTTTGATGAGCACATCAAAATCAAAGCAGACTGCAGAAAATATCTTCTTATTCTAGATGAACACTCTTCTTATATCAATATAAAATATATTGAATTTGCATATCAAAATTAAATTCTTTTTGCAGTACTGTCTTCACATTTAACTCATTGACAGCAATCTTTGAATGTTAATATTTTTAGTTCTCTAGCAGATGTATACATTTATAGTGTCAATAATCTCCTTTGCAGTGAATTTGAACTCATTTAAATAATAAAAAAAAGTTTTTTATCAGTCTTCAATTTTATGTTATATTAATCTTTAATAGCTAAGAATATTCAATCTGCATTTATTGTCACTGATATCTATTCTTTTACTTCTGAGTATATTATTCATTAATTTATAAAATAATTTATATCTTTAATCAATTTAACTTCAACTGAGATTGCTACATCTATAACTATCTATTCTCTTTAACATGATATTAATAGAATTTGAATTTAACAAAGTATACTCTTTAAAGATATGAAAAAGATTATACATACTAGTAAAAAGCTTATCTTTAAAAAGAAGATGCTAGCATATGAGAATAAGACTATAATTAAAGTTTTATACAATAAAAAGAAGTAATAACAGTGTGAAAGACTTTTAAATCTATTGAATTCATAGTAGTAATCTAGCTAAACTTAATTCTTCTCATCATTTAAGGTTTAACTAACTCATGAGAGTATTTAGAAAGCAGATTGTAAAAAAAAAGAGAAAGCTGCTCAACAAGCTTAAGACTAACTCCAATATGATCTATGAAAAGAATATGAAGTTGAAGAGGCTCAGTGAAAATGAATTGAATAATAAGCAGCTTAGACAGCAGCTTATAGAATTTGTGAGAAAAAGAAGACTAGAAAAATAGAGAAGTATGAAGCTTAGTAACTTGCTAGAGAGGCTAAAAAGACTCAGCTTGAAGCTGAGAAGTAAGAATAGACTTATACTCACACTGCAAAATGAAAATCAGTCAGTTCAACTACAGCTGCTTTAAAGTGATAGTGAAAGCAGATGTCTATAACAGATTCTAATCTTTTAAACTCTATTTGACCTTTCAGTCTAGGAAAAGAAATTAATCTTAATCTCTCAAAGTAGCTTACTACTACTTTTACTACTAATTCAGAAATTGATACTTCTTTGATCAATCTTCTTACTTTATACTAAGTTTTTCATTATGACTGTGTTCTTTAGTCAAGTATATATTTATTATATTAAATTATTTAATATAGAACTAGAGAATACTCTCATTATTATTTAATAATCTAATTAATATTTATTTTATTATTGTGAAATTAATTAGATTCTAGCAAGTTGAAGCAGTTTTGCTGAGAGCAGCTCATTTAGTAATATGGCTCATTTAGTGATAAGTCACATTATAGCCTGGGGGAAAACATTAGGAAAAACCCTTTAATATAACTAGTCACTCAACACTTCAAGTCACTTAACACTTTAATTTTTCTCACTTCAACACAGTTAAAATCTTTGCCTTTTTACATGATCTATTATATCAAATAAAGATATAATTAAACTTACAATTAAAGGTTTGAAAGCGTAAAAGGTTAAAATCTATTGTGATACTGCTAAAAATATTCAATTAATAGAAGTATACTATTCTGACAGTATAAAAACATTAACTCTCATATAATATTAGAAAGTGAATATGAGCTGTATAAGAAAGGAATCTCCGCAATATTAACTGTTATATAATGAAATACTAAGCTTGATGAGAAAAAGAAATGCTGAGATCTACCTTGAATTATAAGCAATTTATAGATTTATATAATGAGGTAAATTTAATCTCAGTATCAAAATCACATGATGAAAATAGATTTAATTCTGATATTGAAATCACAGAGTCTAATATCATCATTTAATTATGACAGAGTAGCAAGCTCGATGAATTGCAAAGATTTTCTATCTCAAAGTTTGACTTCTTATAATATTTGTTGATATATAATTTTATAATTTCTTGTTTTTTTTTCATATTATCAGTTGCAGCTTTTAAACTTTCTTTATTTGAATGATATGCTACTGAGTATTTTTTCATTTGAGGTTTTTTTCTCTAGATAGTGTTCTCAGCAATAACTTTTAATCAAAAAACATTTAAAATTTATATCTGTAGACAGTTAGAAAGAGTATTATCTCAGTTGATTTATTCATCACTGCTTTAGCCGCATGATTTATCATTGACAATCACTCATCTCAGTTATTCTAATAGTAGTTTATATATAAATAAAGCTTAGTTATTAAATATTTATTGATAATCTCAGTCTAATTATTTGTTTATATGTAATAAGTTGATAAAAGCTTTAGCTTAACTCTTAATCATTTGATGAATTTATTTTAGAAGTATAAGATGAATTGTGATTCATATTCTAATATGATTGAATCTGATACTTTATAATATTAATAGAAGTGCTTTGAAAATAGTCTTAGCTCTTTAATTTCTATCTTTCTTATTATAGAAATAGATATAGACTTCTTACTTTATCAACAGACAATTATCAATATTACATCATGATTTCTTTTCATTATAGAGTTATTTATAAAGATTATTAATATATACTATCAGACTTTGCTGAGAATTAATAGAGACTTCAATAACTTTGAAATTTTATTACAAAAGATCTTTATTCATCAGTATATTAAACAATTATTTATAAACTAATTGATATTCTTTATTCAGTTATTTTAGTAGTATTTTATCTTCACTAGCAAGTATAGATTCTTCTTCTCAGAATATATTATTAATGACTATTAATAAATTTTCTGTTAAAAATATGTTTACAGAGTAGGATCTTTCTCAATTGATATTGCTAAATATTTTTTAAAATATAAAAGTTTATCTATTCAGCTCTAAGTACTATTCTCTCTGTTGTACTTTCTCATATCATAATTTTAGTGATTCTATCTCTGTATTTCTTGTCTTAAATTTATTAAAAAAAATATATATATATATACTCATATCTATAATTTTAATCTCAATAAATTTCTTAAAAATCTTTGAATTCAATCTTTCTGACTAGAGAAATAATTATATCTAATTGCTTTTGTCATTTTTATGAACCTTCAGTCAATTTACTATATTTATTAGTGTATTTTGATACTCAGACTGATACTGAATTAGAAAGTAAAATCAGAAGAAAAACTCTGCTCAGTATGCTTATCTGATATTGAAATTTTTAATTATTATAAAATACTTAAAAGTTTAATAATTAGTTAAAATTATAAATTTCTCTATTCTCTAAAGGTTTTTCATCTCAGCATATCATTCTGTCAATGCTTTTACATTCAGTAGTATATTCTTATCATAAATTTCATAGTTTCTTTCTACTTACACTTATTGAAGCTGAGTAGAAAATAACTGAATATAACTACTCATTCTTATATAACTGAGATAAAACATCAGTTATAGTATCATCTGAAGTATTCATCTTCACTCAAGTCTCTCAATTTGAGTTATAATGATAAAGTACTGAGGCTTCAAACAAAGCTCTATTTATTTAATCGAAAACATGCTGACAGATCTCATTTCACTTAAAAGATTGATTTTTTCATATAAGCTTAAATAGTGAGTTTATAATTCAACTATATTTCTTGATAAAATATTAATAGATATTGTAGAATTTCAAAAAGAATTGATTTTTCTTAACTATACTAAATACTATTTATTATAATATTATTATAATCTTTTTCAAATTCACTTTAATTACTTAATCAGTAATAATAAATCTCAAGTACTTTATTTATTGAATATGAAACTCATATTTTGAGATACTTATTTATAGTTTAATTTCTTATAATTTAATCAACATCTTTTTAACATACTTTTTATATTTTTTTTAAGATTTTATTATAGATAAATAGATTATTCACAAAAGCAATCATAAATTAATTCAAGTAGTTAAAGAAAATAGTATTTATAAAGTATTAAAAAATTATTAAATTATTACTTCAATCAAAGAGCATAATTTTATACTTATA